TGACTTTAGGTCCTGGCAGCCCTCTGAACTTTATTAGTGACATTTGTAAATGAGGGGTTAAGTCTAGATGATCTCTGAGGCCCCTTTTAGCTTGAACTTTATATGATCTCTGAGCCTTTTGAGTAGCTGAGAACACACAGTCTGGGGCCTTCCCTGGTAGTGCAACAACTTGAAGTGCAGCACTGTGAAGCTCCCCACAGCTGCTTCAGTACGAGTTCGATCCCCAGACCCAGAGGTGACCCACATGGCACGGCAGACCTCTCCTGACCCGCCCGCTGCTCCCCTCAGCAGTGTACTTCATTGATCTGCCTGTTCTGCTCCCCACTCTGTCTCTGGCGAATCCTCTCACTGCCCCTGCACCTCTGGCCTGTGCCCCAGTTCTGTATGCATAAATAAATAAGTCTTGAAAAGAAAACACAGTCTGCTCTGCTCTGGCACTGTGGGTCTCTAGATTAAACTAAGCAAGCATTCTCTTCTACTTTGTGGCCCATTTTCAGGACTTGGCTATGATCCCTAAGGATCAACCTTCTTTAGAGCCACCTTTCTAGAAGGGGTGGGAATCATGGACTACAAGAGCTGGAAGGAACTTTCTAGTCCACTTCCTAAAGTCTGTAAATGAAAAAAAAACCAAGATTTGGAACAAACCAGGACTCGGAGCTGTTTGAAGATTTGTCACATGTGTAATCAGTGGCAGAAAGGGGATGAGAACGCAGTGTCCGATCTCCACGCAGATACCAAGCAGCTGACACAGGCCTTGCCCTATCACCGGCTGCCTCCTCAGCCCTCGCTGGCATTATCACGGCAGCGAGATATCACAGTCTCTCTGTGTGAAACTGCCAGTGAAAACCCTCTTGAGCCAGCAGTTCCTCCTCCTCTTCCTCTCAAACTTTACCCCCTCCTCTTCTCTTTCTGTTCCGTGCAGCTCCACTCTAAAAGCAAGGAAGCAGAGCCAGGGGCCGTGAGGAATGACAGACCATGGCTAGAAGATGCTAGGGTTATGGGAGTACAGGCTCTGTGGCACTTTCAGTTCACAGAGATCGTGCGCTGTGCCAGACCAGCATCCTCAGTTCAGCTTGCAGAGTCTACAGCGCTCTCTCAGCCCCAGCTGGCAGAGTGGGGCAGAGTCTACAGCGCTCTCTCAGCCCCAGCTGGCAGAGTGGGGCAGGGCAGCCCCATCCAGAGCATCACGGGCTGTCCGGGGCTTGGGCATATCCACCTTCATCAGTGTCTGTCATAAATATTTACCATGAGACAACCTCATTACTAAGTGCCGGTTGGAGCCAAGGCTGCCCACCCTCCTACCCACCCACACAGTACGGGGGCAGCCGCTCTCATTTGCTAGGCCTGGAGCTGAACAGATGGGGCCCAAGTTTGCCTAACTGGCAGGAAACCAGGCCAGGCACAGCCCCTCTTTTGCCTGCAGAAGGACAGGCAGACGTACTCCAGGGTGCCAACCAGACCCACCTAGGCGCTGCACTGCCACTCTACCTGTTCCATGCCAGCTATGGGAAGGAGAGGAACTCTCATCAGCCAGTTTCTGATTCTTGTCCACAGATCTGGGTCTACCAGCCAACAGTATACAGCTAGACGCTGAGAATGTGCCAATGGGGATTTAGACAAGAAAGCAAAGAAGGCTCCGAGGAGCCCAGATGGAACTAAACCCTAGTATCAGAGTTTGACACCTCCATTTCTGTCTCATTCTTTCTCTTGATTAGTCATTGTCAGCGAAACAAGTTAAATAAAGGATCTATTTTCTCAGTCCCTCCCCTCCTACCCTTCATTCTATTTATCTCTCATATACCCTGCACTGAACTTTTTAATAGTCTTCCAGCACCCCCCCCCTTTGCCCCCGCCATTTACTCCACACAGACTAGACACATTAGATGTTTTTGTCACAATGATGAAAACACTGGGCTCGGGTTTGAAGACTGAAGTGAAATGCTGGCTGGGTGGCTGCTGGTGTATAACCTTGAGCATGTGATTTGCCTGCCTCGGCTCAGTACTTTCATCAGTAAAATGGAGACAACTGTGGCAATCACTTCACTAGGTAAACAAAGATTAAACAGCAACAACACAGACAAATTGGTAGGTAGGATCTATGCAGATCCATGCATGCATCCATCCATCCATGCATCTATTTTTAGCATAGTGGAGAGTGCCTAGTAGAGAAACATCCCAGTAAGTGACTGTAGAGGTGAATGAAAGAAACCTGAGTCCTCATGGGCTGGGAGAACACTCGGGGGAATCTCTCCCACGCCCAAGTTCCTAGATATCTAAGCTCTGCCAAGGTTCAAACCATATCCTAAGCGACCCCAGGCACCACTGACTATGATTGTTGTTGTTATTTGACTGCAGATGCCTAATAAAAAGGTCTCAGGAAATGAAGGGAAAGCCAGCGGGCTTGCTCTCAAACTGTTTCTAAGACTTCAAGAATTTCCTGGCGTGTTTAAGGGAGGGTCAGGTTACTGGGCAGCAGAAGCGGCAGAGACACGGGTGTGGTTAGAATTCACAGTGCTGAGACACCGGGGACTTCCTCCCGCTTAAACAAAAGCCCACGTGCGGATAGTAGGGGGCATCTACCCGGCAAGCTCGCCAAGATGGGAGAGGGAGGGCGAGGAGCCCGGAGGCGGCCCTCGAAAAGCAGCGATACCAAAGTGACGCCACATCCTCAGGGGCCAGCTCCCCTTGGTTTCGCCACAGATGGCCCCACCCCACTAGGCAGAGAAAGGGGTAGGAAAGGACAGACCTAGTCCTATTCTACGCAGGTCAGGTCAAATGCCCCTATCGAACCAGAAACTGGGGTAGGTCGCTACGCAGTTCTTCTTAGGGAGTCCCAGCACGACGGAGGGCTCAACAACCCAGCCCCCGCGGCTCTCTGCCACCCGGAGAGGAAAGACCAGCACCAGGATGTCGGCAGACTGGCGGCTGCGGCTCCCGCTCATGAATGAACCGGTTGTGCCGCGGGTTCGGGGAGTTCACCTCAATCCCGCCGGCTGACCGCAGAGCGGTCCCAGGTGGTCAGTTCCCCAGTTCCCCGCACTCGGGCCTTTTCCTTCCACTGTTTGCCGCCCCCGCAAACCCTCATTAAGAAAACCAGCATTTAAAGCCGGGGTGTGGGGGGGGAGGAGGGGGGAGGATATTGGCTAGGGAGGGGGCAGGAAGGACAGCGTCTGTGCAGCGGCGCAGGGGCGGCCGCGGAGCCCCGGCTCTCCGGCTCCAGGTCGCCAGTGGCCCGGGCTACCCCCGCATCCCCGCCACGCCGCTCTGAACTCCGAGTGCGCTGCTCCGGCCGCGCTGCCGGGCGCCCCGTCAGCAGTCGGCAGGGGTGCGGATGACGCGGTCCGGACGGGAGGCCGGCCAACTGCAGCATCCCCGCC